TAGGTTTCTGTTCTAAAAGCTGGTAATTGACAGTCATTTATATTTTTGAATTTACTTTTTTGTTAAACATTTAGATAAAGAGATAGAAACAACTACTTAATTATAATTTATAAAACATCGTTCAGGAAGAATATAATCCTTAAACAAACGATAATGACACTGATAAAAACAACTGTCCCCAAATTTTACAAGAGAAGAACACAAACCGATTTGTGTTAATGAGGTGCATTTCTTAAAAGCACAAGTATCAATTGCAGTTACTGTGGATGGAATGCTTATTTGATAAAGAGAAAAACATTCACTAAATGTGTATGGATTTATTTTATTAATACTTGGAATATTAACTGAACGAAGAGAAGAACAGCCACAGAAAGCAAAAGAACCAATTGATGTTATTGTTTGAGGTAATTGTAGTGATACTAAATTAGTGCATTGAGCAAAAGCGTTATCACCTATTGAAACTAAATAAGGGGGAAAAGATATTTGAGAGAGAGAATGACATCCATAACATAACGTTGGTGGTAAAGAAGTAATATTTGTTGACAATATAAGATGACTAACTTTAGCACAATTTTTGAATGCACCGTTTCCTAACTCTGTGATTGTATTTGACAGTTTAATAAATGTTAATGAAGAACAATTTAAAAAACATTCAGAACCAATGCTTTGGATGTAATTCGGTATTTGTAAGAACTTTTTGTTTTCTTCTTTTTGTTGGTCTGTTAATTCATTGATGTTATCTTCAAGAAAGTCAAGTTGGAGATTTAATAAGATATTTTTACTCCTTGAATGATTTAATTGAGGATTTTCATTAATACCAGAATTTGGAACAATGTTATGTAGTTTATTACAGACAGAACAATGAGGAGGGGAAGAAGGGATAATTTTTTCAAAATTTGAATCAGCAAACAACCCTTTGCCAAGGGACTTAATCAATTTAGGAATTTTATTACCAAATTTCATACGATCATTTAGTGTATATTCAACACATTTAAATTTAGTTTTTTGTTTATTAGAAGTAAAGAAGAATCTAGAGAAAGTTATTTTACAGTCATAACAATAAAATTCAATTGTTGGTATTCTTTCATCTGTTGGAAAATATAAATATTGTGTTTGAATTAAAGGGAATAATTTTTTAGTTATTATAGAAATTGGATTAAATCTAAGTTTTTTTAATGTTTCATTAAATTTTTTACAAACACAAATAATGTTAATAAAATCTTCAGGTGTTTTAAAATATTTACAAATTATGAGTATTGAATATGAGTCTAATTGTTTTGATTTGTTCATGAAATTTATAAAAATGTAATAAAAAGTTTAAGTTTAAAATATTGAAGTAAGAAAATAGTTTTCATACAAATTTTTCAAAGAAGAATATTATTATAATTTTCTTCTTTTTCTTTCACTCAAAACAAAGAATTTAATATATTTTTGAAGAAAATAAAAACGAGTTAAAAATAAAAAAACCAACAAATAATAAGTGTACAAACAATGAATGGTTTATTTTTTATTAGATAAAACCATTAAATTTTCTTTGAAAGATTAAAAGCAAAATCAAAAATTAACCACCAACGATTTATTTGGTCAGATGGTAATTGACTATGCCAATCTTGATCAAATTCTAATTTCTCTCCTGCAACTACAATTTCTGGTTTACCATTAGAATTTAATTCTTGAATTGGAATTAATGATGCAATTTCTTCCATTGGTTTATTATTTACTTTTAATAATTTAATAAAGTTAATAAAAAACATACGAAGAACATTTCTTGTATCATCATTTGGACTAACAATATGATCAATAATAACTTTATCATTTGGTGTTCTAAAAACACAATGATTATCTGTTTTAATTTTTTGGTAAAACCCAAGACTTTTAAGAAACTCTTCATGGTTTTTTCCGAGTATTATTGATTCGTGAGGCATTGTGTAGTTATGATTTTTAAGTTCTTCTTTTTATAGTAACAGAAAATTCTAGAAACTATGTTCTAAAAATATATTAATATGAAAATTGTCAGATTTTAAGAAAAAAGACTAACATAAATCAAATTAAAGAATATCATCTTCTGATGCCTCCCCATAATATATTCCAATAATTGCAATAATAACATTATATGATGGTAATACACTATCATATGGGTCTAGAATTGCATGTTTTGCACGACAAAGATATTTTAAAATATCATTAAGAGTAGCAGAGACTTCTGGTTCAAAAGGAGATTGAAGAAATAATAAAAGGCCATAGAGCCATTCTAAAAACACATGAGGATATGATATTTTTGATTTACAAATAATTCTTGAATAATTAAGTAATTCAATAATTTGTGTGTTCTGAAAAGATGAGAGATATTCAACTTTCGGAGATTGTTTGATTAATTTATTATATTCATCAAATGATGGAAATGGATAAGTTGAAGATGGTAATTTTGAAATGATTGACTGAATCTCATTACGATGAGATATAAATCTGTCTTTATAAAGAAAGAGAAATTCTGGAACTATTCTGAAATTTGCTCCGGGATCAGGAATTCTATTTATTGGTAAACGTGGTTCAGTTTGAGTCTGTGGTAAAATAAGACATTGTTGAGAACATGCATTTCTACATTCTTCGTTTTTTTTTAAATAAATGTAAATGTCATGAAATGGATGTAATGGATCTTCACAACCATCAGGAAGAGCTAGTGATTGTTGTACAAATTGTTCAGCTTCAATGTTATTACTCATTTGATTAATTATTTGAGATTTTTTTCCAGAATTTTTAAAATAATCTACTAACCTTCTTTAACTATTAAAGTTTCATTTAAATAGTTTATATTTCATCTTGAGTACTTCACCAACTATCGCCTTGTTGTTCAAATTTAAAATTTAAAGTTCAAAATAATTTTTGTAAACAAGACACTCAATTACCAATATGACTATTTCATAATGGACTAAAAATTAAATTAATATTGAAACATTTTTATCAAGAATCAATTTTTGAATAATAAATATACTGACTAATCCAAAATAAATGAAATTTATTTTAATGAGATATGGAAAATAAGATAAAAAGGATAAAGATAAGTTGTTAAGAAATAAAAGAATGAAAGTGATAATAACAAATAAATGAATAATAAAATGTTTTATGAAAATAACATTGATAAATTAAAAATTAAAAATTAAGTAAAAAACAATACTTCTAACAATTTAATTTATAATATTTTATTTTAAGTAAGAACAATTTGTAAAAATTGAATAATTAAAAAAAAAAGATGTATTAATACTATTATAAAAGTATTAAAATTTATATTTATTTGATAAAATCAATTAGTTATATAACGATAAATCTTTTTTTTTTCTTCAATTAAAAATAGTTTGAATAGTAAAATAAAATATATTAAATATAAATTCTATAAGTTTATGTTTTAATAAGTTTTGATTTTAAAAAAAAACAATGGATTAAAAGAAATAATTGAATTTATTAAATAAAAATGAAAATTTTTCAAATTAAGAATTTTAAACAATTTTATAAGAATTAAAACAAAAAACAAAAACACAAATAAACTAAAAATAAAAAAGGATAAAATTGATCAATAATATAATTGTTGTTGAGGAACCATTGATTGGACTTGAGGAGGAATTGATGCAACAAATATTTTTGATTTAATTGTTTTGTACAAATCACAAAGTGTAGAAGCCAAATATTCCGAATTTGTTTTAGAACAACAAAAAGTTCTAGTTCCATTTGATTTATGAAAGTCACATTTAAAATCATTATTACAAGTCCAACAAACTAAAGGTTTATAGAAATTATAAATTGCATTAGTATTTGGAATAATTTCTTTAAATCTATTAACACATTCAACAAAATCATCAACTGAAAACATCGTATTAAAAACACTTCTTCTTAAATCAGAAACTTTAGCTTGAGAAGCTAAAAATTCAACACATTGAACACTTGATATAAATGGTGTACAAATAACAATTGGTAACATTGAAGAATCACTATATTTTGACATATTTGATTTAATAAATGAATTAATTTTTTTCCATAAAAAATCAAAATCAGTTTGTGGAACTGGATTATTTTCTTGTGAAATTCCATGTTCAAAATCTGTATAATGTTTAGAATTAAGAAAATGTTGAATTGGAATTGGTTGATTAATAATCGTTTGAAAACATTCAATATTAACTGTTCCATTTAATAACGTTGGTTTAATACAAATTTCTACTGGAACTGTACAAATATCTGTTTTATAACTTATTTGAAAATCTAAAATAAAAAATAATTGTTGTTCTACTCGTGGTCCAAGTCCATTAAGTATTTGAAATAATGCATCAGCCCTTGACATCTTTGTTTTATTCTATTTTTTAGTTTTGTCTTCTTCATTTTTTTTTTTTTAAAACCTTTTTCCTTTTTCATGTAATAACATTTTTTCTCTCAAAATAAAATAATGTTATGTTTTATTTACTTGTTAAAATAAATGAGGAATTTTCCTTTTTGATTTTTAATAATTTAACTTTTCTACTTATTTCCAAAATCTTCTGGTGCTGAGGAAAGTCTATTGTTGGATCTTCACCAAATAAAAATAAATTTATCCCGAACTTCTCTATGATAAATTATTTAAAAAAAAATAATTATTTTAAATAAAAACAAAAAATAAAAAATCCAAAATAGAAAGAAGAAATTGATTAACTTCATAAACAAAGAAACTTAAAAAAGGAAAAGCTAAAGAATTTAGAAAAGTGAATAATAATGAATGTCCCGACTCTTGAACAAATTTTTTTGTCTATAAAACCAATGTATATATACTTTAAACGAATAGAAATAGAAATACAAGCAATTCAAAAAGCATTTCCTATGTCACCAACAGTTTTACCTCATCCTCTTAATTATTTACAATATGCAACATTAGTTGGAACAATTCCAATTCAATACTTGGGTGCTAATTATAATATTCCTATCATGATAATGTTTCCTTATGATTATCCTATGAAACCTCCTTTCTTCTTTACTGACCCTTCTCCTGATATGGTTATTGTTCCTCAACATCCTTATGCTATGGATGATAGAACTATTATTCATCCTTTATTACAACGATGGAATGACTCTTCAAACAGTTTAGACGTTTTGGTTTGTCTTCAACTTGACTTTTCAAATTATCCTCCTCTCAAGAAAAGAAAGGAAAACCTTTCAGAAATTCAATCTACTCTTAAACAACAAATTCAACAACTAAAACAAGGACCTTCTTATGACAGGACTAGTCAATGGAAAGAAAGAAACTTCACTAACTCTCAACCTCCTTTCCCTCTAAATTCATATCAACGTTCTCCTTTCTATTCACAACAATGCCCACCTTTCTATACACCATACGGATATAATACTTCTCCTTTTTGTCAACACCCAATAGATTATTATCAAATGAATAATTTATATCAATATGGGTATAACCAATTTCGTCTATTACCAAAACCAAATGGAATACAACCACATCCTAATTCTGCTTTCCATTTTGACTATAATCATCAACTATTGCCTCAAGTTGATCCTTCACTACATCAAACACTTCGTTCTACTACAAGTCAACAAGAATTTAGTCAAATTGCTCAAAAACTTAAACAACAACAAGTCAATAAAAATGAACCATTACCTGATGTTAGTACTTTATCATTAGAAGATATTGACCAACTCCTTGTAGAAGGTAAAATAAGTATTGAAACGTATAAAAGAATGTATATCGATTATCAAAGAAGGGTGCATAAGAAGTAATATTTTAAACATTGGTATTTGTATATTATTTTATTAAATGAATTTAATCATTCTTAAATAATTCTTCTCCTGTTTATGAATTAATGCTTTTTTTCCTTTTATTAAAACGAAAGAAATGAATAAAAACAAAATTTCTTTTTTATACTCCTTTTTCAACTCAATACTTTTTGAAATAAAAAGAATAAAGTCGAACAAAGAGAACTTAAATTAATTTCAATGGAAGGAATCACTAAAGAAAGCAAAAAGCCACTAACTAAACGACAACGTGTAGCACAAGAAATTTTAACTACAGAAGTTAGTTATGTCAAGTCTTTGGAAGATTGTGAGAAGTATTATCACGAAGTGCTTAAGCAATCAAAAATAGCAAAACAAGAAGAGGTTGATGATGTTTTTAGAGACTTTGATCAAATTATTGCAGTAAATGAACAACTTAAGAAAACATTAATGACTGAGGATGAAAATGAAGATTTAGAAGACGTTATTGTAGTTAAGTTTAAGACAATAGTCCCTTTCTTAAAAGCATATAAACAATTCGTTAGTTATAATGAAAAAGCATTTAATATTATTGCTGACTGGGAAGATAATAAAGCTATGAATGAATTACTTGAACAATGTAGAGAAAGTTTACCTGGGGATATTAAACATGACTTACGTTCATTTTTAATTATGCCAGTTCAAAGACTACCTAGATATGTATTATTATTAAAAGAGCTTCAAAAAAATACTCCAAAAGACCACAAAGATTATGATATTCTTAATGAAACATTAACTAAAATGGAAGAAGTAACTAAGGATGTAAATGAGTCTATTAAAGAATCAGAACGAAGATTAGCATTATTTAGAATGAAGAAGGTTTTAACAAATTACTCTGCTTTTAATGAAAGCGTTGCTAAAAAAGGAGAAAAATATGAGAAAGATATTGTTCAAGCTCATAGATTTTTTGTGCAAGAAGGTGAATTAACAAAAGTATGTCGTAAAGCAAACAAGGAGAGATATTTTGTATTATTTAATGATATTCTTATATATGGAGAAGGAAATGAACATTCTGTACAAATTAGTGAAGTATTTAAAATGAAATCAACAATTATTAAAGATAATAAAGACACAGACAAAATTCAAAATGCATTTCAGATAATGAATTCAGAACGTAGTTTTGTTGTATTTGCTAAAAGTAAAGAAGAAAAAGAATTATGGTTTAAAAATATTAGTGAACAAATAAAAAATGCTAAAGAAACAATAGGAGATAAGGGTCAAGATGAATTTATTCGTCCTGTTTTTGTTCCTGATAGTGACTCACCTGAATGTGCATTATGTAAAGTTAAATTTACTTTTGTTAATAGAAGACATCATTGTAGAAAGTGTGGTAAATGTATTTGTGGAGAATGTAGTAAAGGAAGAATTCCAATAACACCTCAGAGTACTGTTTTAGAACGTGTTTGTAAAGTGTGTTTTAATGAATATTCTTTAAATCATCCTGACGACAGACGATTAAGCAAAGTTTCTAGTTCGAAGAAATTAGTGAAGGAAAAAGAAAAGAAGAATGAAAATTTTGAAATGTCTGAGGCAAAAGGTTGTACCAAAGAAGAGTTTAAAATTGAAGGTACAAATGATATAATAAGAGATAATGAAGAAGTAAAGGCAGAAAGTACTGCTTTAAAAGAAAGTAAAGATACTGAAGAAAATAATGTCATGTCATCTATTAATGTAGCTAATAACAGAGCTTCTAAATGGGTACTAGGATCAAGAAGTACAGTTGGAGATAAACAACAAATACCAATAACAAAGCCACGAGTTTCTACTACTTCAAGCGGAAATAAAAGTGTATTTTTTAAGAAAACAGGACATAACCCAGCATTAGTACAAAATTTCACTTCAGAGCTTTAATAATAAATTCATATTTTACAAGACAAATCAAATATAATCAACGAAGAAGTCAATTTTGATTAATTTTTCAATAATAACGTTATTGATATTTTTTAAAACCAATTTATGAATGAATTAAAATAATGAAGATGTTACATACTTCATTGATTTTTTAATTTTATTTAGTTGTTCAAGAACTAAAGAATTTGAAGAGAATTTAGAGAGTTCAAACGAAGAAAGAATATTGTCAAGATTTCTTTCTTGTAAATTATCAATAATATGATGACAAAAATTTGTTTTCTGATCAAATTCAGAAAGAACAAACACACAACTAAGAAGTTGAGTAATAAATTTTGTATTGTCATCATCAAAGAATAGCATGAACATTAAATAAAAGTCTTTAATAGATAATAATGTAAGTAAATCTTTTGGTGATTTAATTGATAGAATACAATTTGTTACAAGCCATCCAATTTCTTTTTTAAATTCAAAATCATTATAGTTACTACTAATTAAAGGTGGTAAGTCAACAAAAACATTTGATATTAATGTTGGTACTACTTTTGTATTTGGTATAAGAACTAGCTCAGATAATACAAAAGCTGCATGAACTTTTGTTTTACTATTACATTGTGAATGGATAATGGTATTTAAATGATTTATTACATTATGTTCAATTAACCAGTTCGCACAAGAAATATCATTGTCAATATAACTAACTAATACAGCTAATATAGCACCAATAATATCGTTATTTGTAGTTGACAAACATGAAAGAATAGTTTCTAAGAGTTCAAAATCCTGAAATTTACAAATATTTTGTGGGTTAGAGACTATAAAAGAAAATCCCCAAAGTGCATCAGCCATAATTTTATCAAATGTCTTTTGTTTGATTGAAGAAAAAATGTAAGGAAGTAACATTTGTACTTTCTCTAAATCTACGAATGGTTGACTTCGACATAAATTTGAAATCAAAAACATTAATCTTTCTTTCATTGGTGTTACATTATTATACATACTAACTAATTTTTGAATCAAGTTTACAACATTTTCTCCAAGGAGATAATCTCTTGTTTCTGCACGATCACCAGCGATATTTCCAATTAGTGTAACTATTGTAATTCTTAATTCAGTTGGTGCCGTTTCTATTTTATGTGAAAGGGCATAGACTATCTTTTCATTAATAAATCCAGTGACAAAATCTGAGGACTCAAGTAGAAGTAGATTGATTATCTCAAGAGAAAGTGCAGAAATTGATGAATTTGGATGGTTAATGAAATTAACAAGAACTGGAATAATTCCTGTTGATTCAATAACTTTGTAACTTGTATATCCATTTAATTTTATCCCCTGAAAAAGTTGTTCTAATAACTCTTTCACTCTTTCTGGAATGTTTTGTGATTCAACCAAAGAATTAGCAAAATAAGAAATAGATCTAGTATGTTGCCGACGTGCACTTGGTGATTCTATTGTTTGTTTCTGACGTTGTAATTTCCCTGTTCCACGAACCAAAAAATCATCCTCATCACCTTCTTCCATTTTTGACTCTTCTTGAACTTGTGATTGATATTCTGTTCTCCTTTTTGCTAAAGACTGCACCCTCCTTGATGTCCTCAACTGTGATCTTTCTTTTTGACGTGCTTCTTTATTTTCATTGATAAAATCAAATCGAATGTTTGACATAGTTAATCAAGTTTTGAAACACCCTTTTCAGTATTTTTTTGATTTTTTTATAGAAAAAAGAAAAACTTAAAATGATAAATAAATAATTTTTATTTAGATACTTCTTTATCTTATTTATAGTTATATGTTTCTCAATATAAGAATTAATAAATTGGTTTCTTCATTAGAGGATTGTTCTGATACAAATACCATTTTTTTTAAATACTATCCATACATTTTGTCATCTGTGTTGAAAGGTTGTTCTTTAGTTAATGAAAGCAATAACATTATCACTTTGATGAGACAGTCTTTCTTATTTATAGATTTTCACTGTGTTATTGATTTGTTAATGCTTCATAATACCTCTTCGTTAGTTTGACCTTACACTTTATGTTCTTGACAATAAACTACCATGGTAATGGTATTCTTCTGACATATCAATAGACTTATAAGTGTCAAACGAAGAGAGCTTCAATGAATGTACAGTAATTACTGTTGC